CTTGTTTGCTATGCCCGCCACATTCCAGAAAGCCACCTTCCACATTTCCTCCTCCCTCCTGATTTTCCTTTGGAACCGAGTGATAAATCATCCGTTCCAGCGTCGAGTTCCGCTTGCGCCGCAGACGACATCCGACAGCCAATGAGCGTGCAGAGGGCGACGGTGCCGAGAGCGGGCATGACGGAGGCGACGGCGCCGACGAAACAGGCGGCCAATGAGGAGGAGGCGAACAATCTCGAGGACACCGAGATCGCACAAATCCTCGAACAGATTCCACGAGGGGTAGCGGAAGCTATCATTCTTGCCGAAGGAGCCGAACAGCCCGCTGGACCAGGCGAGGTTGACGACGTGGTGGCCAGCCAATCCCCAGCAGCGGAGGAGGTGGTCGAGTCGACGGTTCCGGAGGACCAATCGCAGCGCACGGAGGCGTAAGCCAGTGGCTGAGAAACCTTTTTTCGAATGTTATTTCGATATATTTTATTACTTCTTATTGTCATTTTGAGTTTCATGTATTTTATTAAAAAGTATTATAACGCATGTTAAAGCGAAGCGCGACGCAGCGCGAATCTCCGAGCGAAAGTTATTTCATTTTATTTCTTTGTTTTTAATGATGACAGGTGCGATTGAGCATGTTAGAGTTTTATACGAAGGTTTTATTTTATTTTGAGTGATTTATTCATTTTATACAAGTATTAGAGAGATTGCGCGAGATAAGCGTAAAAGATATATGTAAGCGAGCGATTTATTTTAAGAACACATTAAAAACAAGACTGACCTATGAACACGACTGAAATACATTTAAAACACATACATTTACCAATCCCAATCATCCTAAGACAGAAAATTCAATATTAAGGTAAAGAAGTTATTAGAGTCAAGTAAAGAGCCAATCAGAGGCCAGAGTCAAAGTTTTAGAAGCGATGGATTCGGATAAGTTCCGTATCTTAGTTTTGTCATACATTTTTTTTTATTTGCAATAGCGATCATCTGCATACTGTTATTAGCCTATTCACACCGGGTGAAAGCAGAACCTTATTACTTAACGTAGAACGACCAATCAGAGCGATGCAGTTGAAAGAATACATAGTTGTCACATTAATCATCTTTATTCCCATAATAATCTCATTTCTAGACGTACAGACAGTTACAATGATTTTTACACTATACATATTATTATTAAGCATCGAGATCGATCCAAGATTGATCATCGATGAACGATGAACCGTCAGAGTAGAGTTTTGCATGAGAAAGGGCCAATGGAGTCCGAGATAGATGGTTTCACGTTTATTCATTTCATATTAGGAAGTTTGACAGCAAAGCAGTCATGTCGAGTCGAGACGACCAATGGGGAGCGACCCAGTCAATTTTGTTAAGATTAGCATTAGTTTCGATAGATTTATCAGTATCGCGCATTTTCGACACAGCGATGGCCAATAGGAACGATTTTGACTTATTTTTACACACTTTCAGAATACTTTATGATTTTGCGAGGCCTTTAGCCAATGAGAGCGCGAGGCGCAACCTTTTGAGATAATCGCGACGAACCGACCAATAGGAAGCGAGCGTAGCTCAACGAAGCGAGACAATGTCGAAACGCGCGAATTTACATTATATAATTATTATTTTATGTTTCCCTGTCGAGATAATTATGTTTAACCATATTTTATTGCATATTATGCATTACTGTATACTCACTGACGTTGTGATTACCGGTGAGCCAATCACGTCCATTGATTTCGAGACAATCCTACGAAACGCGGGTACCTGAAAAGAAAAGGGGAATTAATAAAATTTGATTTCGGTAAACGAAATACTTACCTGCACTGTCGGGAAACGTCAAAATGACCATACCGCCCGGGCGAACGGCCGATACTTACCTGGCGTAGAGATTACCGTGATCATGAAGGCGGTTCCTCCAGGGCGAGGCTCTTCCATTGCACTACGGTTAGGGCTGACCCTTGCGAATATCCCTAATGTGGATATCTCGGACGTATAATTTTTGGTAGTTGGAACCGTTCCGAGTGACTAACCGCGAAGATGCACTTTGTGGGTATTGCGACGGCTGGCATTGGTTGCCGCATCGTCGAGACCGAAGCGAGAGCCCTTGTCCGCCGTCGAATCAAATCGCAGTTTCTCTGATCTACCAGAGCTGAGCCAATCACAGCGGCTCAGCACGTGGGAACGATGCGCCGTTTAGAATGGGATCGTGTCGCTCGTCAGCAAGCGATACGATTGGACGAGAGAGGTAGGCGCGCGAGATAGAGTCTGTTTGCGCCAAATTGCGAGTCACCGCGCCGGCGCAAGCATCAAAGTGGGGGAACTCTACCCGTTTCTCCCGGACAGTCTACGGTTGAATCTCGAGGCGACAACACGTTGCGCGATATAACTCGAGTCGGTACGACTTATTCCGTGATCGCCTACGATAAGCGCGAACATCCAGCCGTATATTACGAGTACGAGCACATTCCATACACGCGAGACGACTTTTAGTCGCAATTAGCTCTGAATCGACGGTACTCAGATTCGAGAAGGCTCGTTGCCGGTGATAGCGCGAGTGAACGAGACCGCAATAACAGAGAGACTGTAAACTGTGAAATATTAAATTGTTATTTGTTTATAATAAACAAACGAGTCATTATTGGCGACCCCAGTGAGAATCCTGTTCCATTATCCGTGAATCAGAGTTGGGCACATTTCATTCGAATAACGAATTAGGAATAAATTATTCGAATAAAATATCATTCGAATAAAATTTCATTCGTATGTGTCTCATTCGTAACATAGTCAACTACATTTTATTCGGATAAATCTTCATTCATAACGTGACGAATGATTTTTCATCCGAATAAATCTTTATTCATAAAATACGAATAAAACTTTATTCGAATAAATCTTTATTCGGAATTTACAAATAAATTTTTATTCGAATTAATGCTCAATCGTACGATACGAATAAAGTTTGATTCGAATAAATACCAGTATGTCTTATTTATGTCTCAAATGTTGGCGCTCGCGCCGCTCGCTTTCATCAATAACAATAACTATTGTACAAGCGTTTGACCGTGTAACGGTCACCATGATATATCCAGTATTACTGTTTTGGCTTCATTCGATCCAGAGTAGTGTTATTCTGTTGTCTGATGTGTGTGGATCGACGATCGACACACAAATTATAGTGAAGTAAAAAAATTTTATTAATCGAAGGTAAGATATTTAAATTTGATTGTGGATCAAATCCCAGAGAATTAGGTTCAATTTGACGTGGAATACCACATATATGTTTTGCTTATTTTTATATATTATACATTGTTTTAGTTAGCATGGCTGAATCTGGAACAAACACTGTACCAGACTCTCACTCTCAGACAACGTCCTCGTCCTCGCCCTCGCAAATGAAACAGTCTGAAAACGAAAATGATGGTGCGGATAATACCGAAAATAGCAGAGATTCACCTTCAGTGAATACAATCACCTCGAACATGGCAATCTTAGATGGAAAGTATTTCAAAATTGTACAGGGTAAAAATTCCTTGAAAACTAACGACGTAGTGGCTACATGTGTAGCATGCTTACCAAAGATTGTTGAAGTAAAAGGTACATTAACATCGACATCAAATTTCAAATCACACCTGAAACGAAGGCACGACAGTAATTTGGTGAAGGAATATGAAAAATATTGCAAAGAAAAACGATCCAAATTATCTGCATCGGACTGTTCTGATGAAAATCAACTTGCATCTTGCAAGAAACGCAAACTGCTGAGCTTACAGGAACAATTGGACGAAGATATAACTCAATTCGTTGTTCACTCTTAACCCCATTAAGGATAGTAGATGATCCTTATTTCCAAGCTATATTTGATCATCTTCAAGTTAAAGCCCGCGGAAAACCAATAACGGTACTAAGTCGACGCTCTCTTGGTAGAAGAATAAAAGATTTGTATGAAAGCAATACCAAATCTATTAAAAAAATTTTAACTGAAGAAGCGCAATATATTTGTACCACAGCTGATGTGTGGTCTTCGAAGAAAAGAAGTTTTTTAGGAGTAACTGCACACTGGATTAACATTAATTCGTTAAAGAGACAATCTGCAGTTTTGGAACACACAGTTTCGATAGGATTGCTGAGATGTTATGCGATATTCATTCCGAGTTTGGTTTAGATTCGTCAAAAATATTAGCCACTGTCACTGATAATGCTAGTAACTTTGCTAAAGCTTTCAGGGTTTTTGGTGTAAAACTTTGTAACTTTCAAAGGGACGTTGATGGTGAAAATAATGAATTTTCGGATACATCAGCAGATGAAGAAAGCGACGATGAGAATTTTCAATCAATTCCGATGGGTAATATTTTTTTCACCAGTTTAAAATTAATGCTGCACCTGCACTATTATTAAAAATGAAGCCAAAATTAATTATATTACGATTCGATTTATATATTATATTATGTATGCATAACATTACAATTTCTAGATCCTGATGAAGAATGTGCTTTAGAGCCAAATAAGCCTCTGCCACAACATCTCAGGTGTTGTGCACATACGCTCAATCTTTGTGTCGCGAGCGATGCCATAAAAGCTATCAACAGCTTTCCATTGCTATTATCAGTGCATGAACAGGCAATGGCCAAATGTACGGTGTTATGGAGATTCGTCGGACGTCCAAAGTCTGCAGAAATACTAATGGACATATTAGGTCATACGTTGAGCAGGCCAGGTGAAACTAGGTGGAATTCATTGTATGATTCTCTGCGCCAAATTGTAAAAATTCGTGAAAAGTGTCCTCAGTTAAGTCGAGCGCTCAATATCAAGAATACTTTAAAGGAGACTGATTTTATTTACATTGAGGAACATCTGTCATGTGTCGCTCCTGTGGCTGAAGCTCTCGATATTCTGCAAGGGGAAAATAATGTATATTACGGAATTGTTCTCCCTTGCCTTTTCGCATTACGTAAAAAATTACAAGTTTTACAAAACAAGGAGTTGAAATATTGTAGACCACTATCGGATGCTCTTTTGGAAAGTGTCGAAAGACGATTTAAAGATTTCTTTGACATGTCTGCGGTATCAGCACAGAATGCTGCAATTGCCACATTGTCATATCCAAGGTTCAGAAATCGATGGTTGTCATGCATTGGCCTTGAATCAGCTCAGATACTATCATTTTTTAAAAAAACAGTTGCAGCAGAGAGTAATTGTGTAGAAGTTTCCGAAAAAGAAACGGATCCGTTTGACGATTACTTTGATTTTGCGATGGAATCACAATCAGCAGCTTGCGGAGATTCATGTACGATAGATATGGTTGTTTCAAAGTATTTAAGTGACAGTACTCGAGAAGTTTCAATGCTCAAATCTTATCCAGCAATAAAAAAAGTATTTGTGCGTTATAATACACCACTGCCGTCCTCTGCCGCCGTTGAACGATTATTTTCCTACGCTACCATGACAAATGTTCCAAAAAGTAGTAAGCTGTCAGATAAAATGTTCGAAATGAAAGTTGTTTTGAAGGGAAATTATTCTAAATCTTATGTAAACGAGTAAGAATTATTAGATTTTTTTTACATTGAGAGCTGCAGTACCGTGTGGTCAACTGCCCAATGAAAGTGGCAATAATAGATGCAATTATAATGCTGCGATTTAAGATAATGTATTTTTGTAACGTTAACAAAAAGTGATTGTTAATTATATTTACATTAGGTATACTGTATTCACATATAAGCATATGTAAACTTATTTTAAGTTTATTATACTAGACCCACACGCAATACATCATAAACCAGCCTTATTCATCTCATTGACCGGCTCATGAGTTATTGACCGAGGTCAATCGAAGATGTGGAGACATTTTTATTTTACTTTTTTGTTTTTTTGCAATTAATTTTTTTTTAATTTTTTATAGACACAAAAACTACGTTTTTCAAGTATTATTTTTATGTATTTTTTTTTTATGATGTTATACAGAGCAATAAATGTAAAAAGAAAAAGTTCTTTAACAAAAAAAAATTTTTCTCCTTGTATCGTAGCTAAAATCAATGTTTGAGCTTACAAAAAAACTCCGACTCAAAACTAGCTATTTCTGTGGCGGTCAGCTGTCCGCCTGCCGCCACGTGCGCGCGACCGTACATACGCTACGTGAATAGTATGACGGGAGGCGCGCGGCACGCAGCACGGATAGTAGCGTAATATCGATCGGCGCGCGGCATGAGTATCGACCGGCGGAATATTTCGGCGCGCACCGCTGCGCGGCGTATCTCTCTCGTAAGTAAAGTTCGACATCGATCCTTATATAAAGGGCAGCTCAGCGGGACCTCTCCAGTGATCTTCGAGAACGCCAGTCAGGGCGAGCTACCTATCGG